TCCAAGTAGAAATACTGCTGCAGAACAGACCGTGAGTAAGGGGCCCCTCCAGTATTTGGCACAGACTCACCCTTCCATCAGGTGAAAGGCACTGAAACAGGGCCATGGGCCACAGGAGAGACTAGTGCTGCAGGAGAGGCCCGAGAAGGCAGGAGGTGTTTTGATCCGGGGGAGGTGAACGTGAGTGTGGAAGTCCAGGGTGCTCCAGAAGGGAGGGCCCCAAAAGAGATAACATTCAGGTCCTTACAAAGGACACACATGCAGAACCCAGTTGTCTACAATGCAAGCCTTCATCTGACACTGTCGGCATAGAAAAGGAGAGGCGAAGAATGATGCAGACCTGAGCACACGTGCTGGTGAAACAGCATTCTGTGCAGGGCCCATGGAGGGTGAAAGAGAAAAAGAACAAAATAAAACAAAGGGAGCCCAAATTTACAAAGAAAAAGAGTGCCTTGAGATTTTTCAAAGTCAGAGGATAATTTTTTTTTAATAAAAAAGTACAATTTATGGTAAGAATTTTTTTAAATGAAGCTAGGCCCTGTGGCTCATGCCTATAAATCCTAGCATTTTGGGTTAAAGCAGAAGGATTACTTGAGGTCAGAAGTCTGAAACCAGCCTGAGCAGTAGAGACCTCATGATCTATCAAAAAAAAAAAAAAAATTAGCCAGATGTGTGTGGTGGCCTATGCTACTAGGGAGGCAGAAGGACTGAGCTCCCAAGTTCAAGGCTGCTGTGAGCTATGGTGACGCGACTGCACTCCAGTCTGGAGGACGGCACGACCCTGTCTCAAAAAAAAGAAAAAAAAGAAAGGTGCTCAAATTGTTATTAATTTGTCATATTTACAGCCAAAACACTCACCTTTTTTTGTTTGTTTGGGGTTTTTTTCTGGTTTTTTTTAAGTTTTTGGCTGGTCCGGATTTGAACCCGCCACCTCCATATTGGGGCCAGCACCCTACTCCTTTGAGCCATAGGTACCACCCAAAAACTCACCCTTTTTTTTTTTTTGAGTCCCTTAAAACAGCCAGAAAGAAACTTTGCTAATCACTAGTGCACTTGCTGACATCTGATTCTGCTAGTACAATGAACATCAATGAACAGTTTTCTTCAATAGCTGTTTCTTTCCGCAGTAATACCCATACCATAGAAAAAAATAACAACAAAAATCTTTTATACCCATTATTTGAGGAATATTATTCAATCTTCTGGTCCATTTTAATCCATCTTTGGCTAAGCGTTATATATACTCTCTTTGAACTTACATTATCCTACTGAGAGGGGTCAACTCTTCAATAAATGAAACAAACAACTTAGTCAATCCAATTTCCTTCTAAGTGTCCTCACAATTCAGCCCACACTCTCAGCAATAATTCTTGAGCATTTCTCTCTCTCACTTTTGGCACCTCTAGGAGCCAGAAGGAGATAGCTAAGAAACTTCAAGGACATAAAAATTCACTACATTTCCCCAACCTTCTGGTCAAGCAGAAGGTATTAGGTAAGACTGAAAAGGATAAGGCCAGCGATTTGCCCCCAGGTAAGCCTAGGTTGGCACGTCTCACCCTTACATGGGGACTCCTACGACTTTCACCTTTCACTTAATAATTTCAAATCTTGGCCTTCCATGTCTATAGAATGGAATTCTAGGCTACAAAAAATTCCAAGCTGTATTAAGTGGGGAAAAAAAGCTAATCACATGAATGGGAGCAATACAGTTCCTTTATGTTAAATATGTGAATATCATATATATACATATATATATGTAGATCCACATCAGAAAGATAAGGAGACACACAACCCTGTGCATGCGTCTAGTAATCCCAGAATAACGAAGAGAACTACAGGTTGGAGTTGGAAAACCAATTATCATTCATTGCATATTTGTACTCTACTGTAAATATTTAGCACTTACCTGAATAAAGTTACTAATGTCATTTTAAATAAATCCAAATGATGTATTTGTTAGTAGCAGACTATCTAAAGTCAGGCTCCATGTGTGGCATAAAAGCTTCAGGACTCTTTGGGAAGTCTGTTTCTGGTTTTCTCTCTCTCCTCCACGCTCCCTCCCTCCCTCTTTCTCTCTGCCTTTCTATAGTTCAATTCTACTGGTATTTCTGTCTCCCTCTTGCTCACATCCTGACTCAGCCTGGAAGGTATCAATCCCCCCTCAGGAGGTTCAGCAGAAGTCCCCTGAATGGTGAGGATCAGCTCCCTGGCTGGGGGAGAGCCCATCTTCCTTTGGAAGGCAAAGCCTCCCAGAGGGAGGCCGCCCCACCCATTCTGAGTAAAGGAGCACACAACACACTCTTGGCTTCAATAGTCCCCTTGTCTTTGGAAACTGGTTCAGGACTCCAGAATGTCTCCAATGGCTCCAGAGGCCAAAAAAGGGAACTTGGTTTTTTTTTTTTTTTTTTTTGAGACAGAGCCTCAAGCTATCTCCCTGGGTAGAGTGCTGTGGCATCACAGCTCACAGCAACCTCCAACTCCTGGGCTCAAGTGAGTCTCCTGCCTCAGCCTCCCAAGTAGCTGGGACCACAGGTGCCACCACAACGCCCAGCTATTTTTTTGGTTGCAGCCGTCATTGTTGTTTGGCAGGCCTGGGCTGGATTCGAACCTGCCACCTTAGGTGTATGTGGCTGGCGCCCTAGCCAATTGAGCCACAGGCGCTGAGCCAGGGAACCTGGTTTTATCCTCCTTGACCCTGAACCCTCTGTCTTGCTCCCATGCTGCTTCTTTTTTGTAACATTCCCTATCAACACTTTGGCCACTCTGCAATCCCCTGGGAGAATTTCCCTGTCCTGAACTCTGTGCAGCCTGAAATCCTCCTCTAAAGCGCCGCTATCTTCCGGCGTACCATCAGGCTCTGATGAGATACCACAGAAAGTGAACTGCAGGATGCCAGGCAAGACCCTGAGTCTACTCCTGCTGCCCTTCACAGTGTTCAGCACTGGCACTGACCCCTCATGGCCTTTCTCTGTGTACCTTCCCTGAAAACCAGTGACTGCAGCCTGCTCAGCCAAGATAGGGGGCAGGGATTTCTGCCCCAACGTTATTTTTATTTGCCTGTTAGCCTTAAATCCTCCTGAGACCACAGGCTCTAAACTATCAAAACTGTCCATTCTTCAAGGAAACATGGCAACTGGTCACTCAGCCTCTCGTCCCAGGCAAGTAAGATGGAACCGACAGGCCAGGAGTGAAGCTCAACTCAGCATAGCTTTTATCTGCGGCAGTTTCCTTACCACTTACTAAGCCTTGGTTCCCTTTTCTGTATATGGGAAAATAATTCCTACCTCATTAGACATATGTGAAAATCCAATGATCATTCCCATATGTAAAAGCTAACACTGGGACCCTTTCTTTACTCACGTGATGACACACACCCCAGTTCTTACCACAGCCCTGTAGCTCAATCCACCCATTATCAGTTAGTCATTAAGTCTCGGACACATCTTAAAATCTTGAAGTGTAAAGATCCTATTTCTGATACATATACTCTTTCCTTCCTAAGAAAAGCAAAGTATGGAAACTGCTCTAAGTGAACACTATCAGCAACTAACCCCAAAAAGAAAAAAGAAGAGTGCCTGTTCTTGGGTTAATTATTGAATTTACAGCTCCAGTAACACACACAGACACACCTACCTGCTTTTCTTGGTGCCTGTTTACCTTCATTCTTGGTAAAGCCCAAGATTCATCGGGCCGTCAAGCCCCCAGGAACCCTCTCCAGCTTATTTGTGAGAAGAGGAAACAAAAAGCCCAGAAAGCTTAAGCAACGTGTTCAAAGTGGCACAACTAGTTAATGACATGCAGTTGAATAAAGTCAGCCCAGGGGTGAAGCCCGGTAAACTGAGTTATTCCTGAAAGCTTAGTCAAGGTGGCACCACAGGGCAAGACCGTATTTCCTGGAGTTTAGCAGCCTTTAAAGACAGTCTGTGAATCCAAGGATGTGTAATTAATTTCAGGAAAACAGCAGGATTCCACAGGTCTTCGTTTGGTGGATGTTCTAGAGCTCCTGTTGTCAAATGAATCTTTCTGAGAGGCAGAGATGCATTATCCAATATGGTAGCCCTTAGCTATACATATGTGGCTATCACACATGTGAAATGTGGCTGGTGCAATGGAGGAAATGAATGCTGTCATTTGACTTCATTGTAATAAATTTATATTTAAATAGTCACATGTGGCTAGAGGCTTCCCTATGGGACAGTGCAGCCCTAGACCACTGTTGACTCCTGAGGTAAACTGGAGACCCAGGGCAGTGAGCACACTGAGCTATCAGGCAGACGGAGAGATTCAGACACCTCCTACTTCATTAACCTGCCGGGTCTTTTAACTTCCTCCACCTTGGTTTTCACATGCGTAAAGGAAGATTGATAACTCTGAACGTGAAGTGAGATGGAGCACATGTGTAACCCTTGGGACAGCGACAGGAGAGGAGGCAAGCTGAGGGCCGGGCCTTCCTGTGTTCCTTTCCTGTGCCCATTCAAATCTGAACCCAAGATGTGGCCTTGTCAGACACCCTCCCCACACAGATGCAGTCCTGGCTGGAGAAATAGACTGTCAGTGTAGAAAACAAGGGTCTTTAGCTTCCATCAAAATGACCCCCCAACTGGGGGTGGCGCCTGTGGCTCAAAGGAGTAGGACACCGGCCCCATATGCTGGAGGTGGTGGGTTCAAACCCAGCCCCGGCCAAAAACTGCAAAAAAAAAAAAAGACCCCCAGCTAGAAGAGCAGACCCAGATAAAATCAGAATAACCCCACTTCTCTCTGATAGTTTGTGATTCTGACTCTGTCCAGATTCACTCTTGACTAAGAAGCAACAAGAAGGGGAACCTGTTCTCCATCTCTAGAATTGATGGCCACCTGCTTTGTGAAGCAGCCAAAAATAGACCCCCAGAGGGAGAACCCTTTAAGAAAGGCCTCTAAGCTCTACATGTTATCCATGGCTCATGTGGCTGCAGCCCTCATGCCTCGCCCACATGTGAACCCTCCGCCCCCCTCCGGGTTACCTGAAGCACCAGTGGTGGGAGTACTGGCCGGTGGTGGCTGCGAGGGGCTGCTGCCCTCAGTCAGCAGGCACGGGTTGCTGCCATTGTTCTCTCTCTTCACAAGTAGCTCAGCTGCACTGGGCAGCGGGATAGGGTGGCTGATGCCCAGCTCCTCCTCCTGGGCCTGCTGCCTTCTCAGAGCCACCTGGAAGCACAGGACACAGGTCATCCTCCAGCACTCAAGAATCACATATGCAGCTTTGCCCAAACCACAGAAAGCCCTGCCCATCCCAACACTGTGATTCACTAGCTCTGGGGTGAGGTCTGAAAATCTCCAATTTCATTTTAAAGCCACCCCAGTAACTACCATGTGCAGTTAAAGATGAAGAACGGTTTAGAGCTAGAGCACCTGGCCCAGAGTAGGTGCTTAAAAAATACTTGTTAGGGCCGGGTGCAGTGGCTCAGGCCTATACTCCTAGCACTTTGAGAGACAGAGATGGGAAGATCATTTGATGCCCGGAGTTTGAGAGCAGCCTGGGCAACAGAATAAGACCCCATCTCTACAAAAAAAAAAAAAAAATAGAAAAACTAGCTGGGTGTGGTGTCATGCACCTGTAGTCTTAGCTACTGAGGAAGGTGAGGCAGGAGGGTCACTTGAGCCCAGGAGTTTGAGGCTGCAGTGAATCACTACACTCTAGCCTAGAGGACACAGGGAGACCTTAACACCTTGTCTATAAAAAAAAGAAAAAATGCTTGCTAAACAAATGAGTGGGTAGAGCATCAGGATACAAGATTGGCTAGGGAAAAGCAGGAAAACTTGTACAGTAAGCCAAGCAAAGGAGTTCAATCTGAAAAGTACAAAAAGTCACAAGCCACAAGCACTAATAGATTAGGAAGGAAGGAGAATGGGTTCACTCACCACTCATTCCACCATTGTGAAAGACCACTGCACTGGCCAGGCATGGTGGCTCTGGGTGGCTAAGGCAGGAGAATTCCTTGAGCTCGGGAGTTACCAGACTCTGTCTCTACTAAAAATAGAAAAATTAGCCTGGCATTGTTGTGAGCGCCTGTACTCCCTGGTGCTCAGGAGGCTGAAGCAGGAGGATGGCTTGAACCCAGAAGTTTGAGGTTGCTGTGAGTGAGGCTGACCACAGCATTTTAGCCTGGGCAACAGAGTGAGAAAAAAGACCACCTACATGTAAGAAAGACCAGTAAAATTAAGCTACTGTTTAAAAGGAGAAACGGGGCCAGGCCTGGTGGTTCATGCCTGTAATCCTAGCACTCAGGGAGGCCAAGGTGGGTGGATTGCTTGAGCTCACCAGTTGAAGACCAGCCCCAGCAAGAGCTAGACCCCATTTCTACTAAAAATAGAAAACCTTAGGCAAGAGGATCACTTGAGCCCAAGAGTTGGAGGTTGCTATGAGCTATGATGATGCCATGGCACTCTACCCAGGACATCAGCTTAAGACTTTCTTTTAAAAAAAAAAACTTTGGGCTGCACGTGTGGCTCAGTGGGCAGGGTGCCAGCCCCATATACCAAGGGTGGTGGGTTCAAACCTGGCCCCGGCCAAACTACAACAAAAAAATAGCCAGGCGTTGAGGCAGGCGCCTATAGTCCCAGCTACTCAGGAGACTGAGGCAAGAGAATTACCTAAGCCCAGTAGTTGGAGGTTGCTGTGAGCTGTGACTACCGAGGGCAATAGAGTACAACTCTGTCTGTTAAAAAAAAAAAAAAAAAAAAAACTTTAATAAAAGGAGAAACAAGAGGCAAGCAAACAACATGCAACTACAACACAAGACAAAATGTGATAAACACCACGAGATGTCCACACAAACGTTAGGATGAGTGAGAGGTAGTATTTAAACAGAGTATTGAAGAATAGGATGATTAGGGCTTGGACGGGCAAGGAGGAAGTGGTGGAACAATCTGGAACAGGATGGACAGGTAAGGCAGAGGTTGCTTGGGGAAGCTTGCAGAGCAAGGTGGCCCAGAGCAGGAGGGAGAATGAAGAGAAGCACTGGGAGAAAGGGGTAGGAATCCCGGGGAAAGGGGTAAGAATCACAGGGAAAGGTGTTTAAGTCCCTGGACCAGAGAGAGGCTAGCAAAGGGAGGTGGGGTGGAGAAAGGGAGAGGACAGGTGTGTGATATTCCAGGTAGGAAGGAAAGAGAGCCAGAATTGGGGGCTGGAGAGACTCTGACCTATTTTTAAAACTGCATTTACAACCTATAAAGCCAATAAACTCCTCATGGTCCCTCTTCCATTGATCTTCTTTTAAATTACATTGTTAAAGGTTGAAAAAAGAGGTTTAAAGAACATAAATTGTATTTTTGCTCACACACTTAACAAAAAGAGAGATTTTCTTTTGAAATTGACTACAGGACTACTGATTATGAGAGTAGAAACTACCTGTCCGGTACTACAGAAGCCCCAACACAAGCCAAAAGATAAAATCTAAATGTTAAATAAAAAACACAACTACAAATTGTATATTGTTTCAGGAACACTGTAGTCCAAACATAGAAAGCGGATTCATTTGAAATTCTTATTTATAACCAAAAAGTCTTCAACGTAGAAAAAGTAATCAATGGCTCGGCGCCTATAGCTCAACCGGCTAAGGCGCCAGCCACGTACACCTAAGGTGGCGGGTTCGAATCCCCAGCCCGGACCCGCCAAACAACAACGATGGCTGCAACCAAAAAATAGCCGGGCGTTGTGGCGGGCGCCTGTGGTCCCAGCTACTTGGGAGGCGGAGGCAGGAGACTCGCTTGAGCCCAGGAGTTGGAGGTTGCTGTGAGCTGTAATGCCATGGCACTCTGCCCAGGGGGACAGCTTGAGGCTCTGTCTCAAAAAAAAAAAAAAAAAAAGAAAAAAGAAAAAGTAATCAATTATGCTAAAAAATAAATGATTAAGCCTAAATCCTGTATTTTCTATCACTAAGAGGTTTAGAGACAGTTATCTATACTTTGACCAGAAGTGAGTTTTTAAAACCCTGCAAACCTCTGAAATATGCCAATGCACATTTCTACCCACAATGCACAGGGTACCTTTTCCATAAACTTGCACCTTTACAAATATTTTCTCTACCGGTTACTTAGGAAATGTTATTTAAAATGGGGAAGGGGTGATGAATGATTTAAAATGCAAATTAATTTAGAATCATTAGATCCTAAGACCAATTTCAAACTATTTTAGAATGACTAAAAAGAAGTTGTTATATGTTTTTAAGGATTCACCTGACACAGCACCAGCCTTCTGGTGTGTAAAATACTTAAGTTTCACATTCTAAAAGTAACCTGGACTTGCCTTTGTTTTTGATATAGCAAACAGCCACCTCAAAATTAGTCCCTCCACTAACAAAGTTTATTAAAAATTAATTTCCCCACTAGTATAAATATTTTTATTACATTATCCATCCACACTGAATGGTTAAGCCAATAACTAAATGTTCAGAATCTTTTTTCAGACCAGAGGTGCAATCTACAAGTCGGTAAGTTTGGCTCCGTAAGCTCGCCACGAGGCATTTCAACGCTACACCCAGTGTATTTGCATCCACCATACACTAAGCTAAAACATCTCTTAAGAAACCAATGAAATAAATCTATTTTCAAAACTGCATTTACAACCTGTGAAGCCAAAATGTATTTAGTTTAAAACACATTTTTAAAAATCAGATGTACATAAAAAGCATTTAATCTTTATTTCAGTAGTCTTATTCCATGGAAGACATTTACCCTTTCTTAAAAGTAGCGCATCATTAGCAAACATGTCCCTGGTTTCTTTTTAAATTACCGTAAAAAAAAATTTTTTTTAGCTGCAAAGAGTGTATATTATTGTCTCCTGAAGATCATTTTAGGATCCTAACGACATAAACTATTCCGTTAAGATGCTAAATTTTACTAGCCTACTTAGGAAGTTTAAAAAAAAAAAAAAAGACCGTCAAAACGTGCAGCCCGCACACACATTTTGTCCCCCTGCACGTAGTGTTAAAAATTCTTAAGTACGCTTTAAATTATTTTCAAAGTAATCTGCACGTGAATAACGTGGTCCTCGCTGCAAAGTTCCAGCTCTCAAAATGGCTGAGGCGCTCAGCCTCGATCCCGCGGGGACGAATACAAAAAGTGCGCCAAGCGCGCTAGGAAGACCACGCCACCCTGGCGTCCGTTGCAGAGATTTTTCCAGAAAAACAAACACAGCTTCCCGATCCGTTACCCAAGCAAGCCACAGCCCCTCCAAGTTTCCCCCTTCTCTCCAAAGGAACCGCTAGGGCACCGAGCACGCTCCTTAATTTAAGCGCAACCTATCCGGAAGGCGGAGTTAGGGCTTGTGGGGACCCCCGCGAGGAAATCGCATACTGAAACCTTAGCTTGAAGGGTGCGATCGGAGATCGTGGGGAACCCCCAGCAGGGCGAACCCTGCAACTCTGCTGGGCTAGCGAGAATCAGAAACCCCAGGGACTGATTCCCTTAGAAGCCAACCCCGCTAACCTTCACTTCGGAGGGTTGGGTCGCATACAGTGAAAATACCGCAGCATAGTGAGGTCCGCAACATATACCCCAGCATAGTGAGGTCTCTCGAGGGCAGACTCGGGGATCCTCGGAACTCCCATGGGGCGAACCCCGCAACTCGATACTCCTAGAGTGGAGTCAAGAATCCCAGGGACCCCCAGAGAGACCCCAGAAACTTTCTTCTAAGAGACGGAGTTAAAGATCCCGAAGATTCCCCCAAAGCGAACCCTGCAACTCTGCTGGGCGGCGAAATCAAACATCGTGGGGAACCCCAAGCAGAGCGAACCCTCTAAATATACTTAAGTTGTAGACAAAACCAGGGACGGGTCCCCTGCGAGCCTGGCGTCGTCGCGTGGCTGGGAGCCCCCGACCCAAAGCGTGCCGCGTCCGTCGGCGAGCACACTGCGGCGTCCCTCCAGACCCCGGGTCCCGCGTGGCGACCGCCATGACTGGGCCACCTAATCTATAAAGCTGGAGCCCGAACCCCGGTTCCGGGACGCCCGAACTCACCTGCGCGGCCATCACGCGCTGTCTCTCGGCGATCAGGTTGCACTTCTTGCACTGGCAGTCACGCCACATGCAGAAGCGCTTGTGGCCCTTGAGAGGCGAAGCATAGCCGTGGTTCCTGCAGCGCGCACACTTGGGCAGCCGAGGGGACTTCTTGCTCGCAGCACCCAGGCCCGACGCCCCGGAGCCAGAGCCTCCGCCGCTGCCCCCGGCACCCGAGCCTCCGGCTCCCCCCAGCAGCGACCCAGCTGCTTTGCCGAAGCCCCCAGGCTTTCCCTGCGGCGGTGCCCCGGGGGCGTGCGGAGCCTCCGACGGTGCCGAAGGCTTGCTGAACGCTTCATCGTTAGGCATGGTGCCCCAAGGAGAAGCGCAAGGACTCTCTGGTCGCCTTTGCCGTCTGGAGAGGCCTGCAAGGGAAGAAGGCAACCGACGGCTAGGTTCCCGAAGAGGAGACGCAGCAGGCGTGTGTGCTGCAGTCTGAGATGCAGCCAAAGTGGCGCGGTAGGGACACGCCTGGAGTGGTGGGGGGCGGGTGTCTAGTTTTTTTTTCTTTTGCGCGCGCGCAACGCAGAACTTTTGGATACTTTTCCGAACGTTCCCGGGACTGCCAGGGCGGGAGAAGGCGCGAGGGAGGGTGGCCACGCCCACCGCCCCCCAACTCTGGCCACAGCGCTCCCGCCGGTGCAAGCTTGCACCGGTTGCAAGGACGCCCAAGGCGTTGCTGCAGAGTCTTTGCAAGTGCACTTGCACTCAGGCCCGGGGATGCTGTGACCTCCCCCCTCAGCTCTCCAAGGCGCGGAGACCAAGCTGCCAAAGCACGTTGCAGCGGGAAGCTGGGCTCCGCAGGTCAAAAACAGACGCGTGCACGGTGCAAACCACCCCTTGGGGTCCTCTACCTTCCCTCCCCCCAAAGAGGCACATTCTCTAAGTTCAATAGAGCGCATCTTGGTAGCAGCCAACTCAGAAAATGGTTTATTTCTCTCTTAAGAAAATTAAGCATGGAGTGAAAGCATGAGAAAAAAAGAAGTCTCTGCGTTTATACGGGGCAAATAATACCCTTAGTGTATGTATGGGGCTCAAACAAGCCCAAAATGTCAAAGGCTGGGACTTTTTGTTTTCTGTTTATCCTTTCCTGCACCTATGTTTATTTGCTTACAAGATTTCTGTCTACTGGCTCCAGATAACGCTCATTTTTAGTTCCAGCCTTTTTGCTTCTCACTCCTGGTGCATACAGCGTCTTGCCTTTGAGGCAGCTTCACTTAGATTGCAGGCACCTGAAACTAAGACTTTAAAAAGGTTTGTTTTTTCTTTTTTGATGAGAGGTGGTTAGACGGATGCAGACATTTACCCAAAATCATTCTATACGTCAAATCTGTTTATTTTACTATATGTAATTATACCTTTAAAAAAAAACTGGATCATCTAACAGCCTTTTCCCCAGAGTACTCATCCTGACCGACTACCTAGCGTGTCTGTCTCCTCTCTGCACCTGCACAACAAATCCATCCCTAATGCCTATTGACTGTTCTTACACATCCACGTGTCCCCCTAAACCAGCTGGTCGTTTGCTGTAAGTCTGAATATGCAGTAGTTTCCAGCTATTCTCTCCATGTTGTTAGTTTTCCAGGATACTCCATGCACACTGTAGGGGCCACTACAGTGGCTTTTCCATATGAAAAAAGTTAAAGCTACTGGGGGGTGCCTGTGGCTCAAAGGAGTAGGGCACCAGCCCCATATGCCAAAAGTGGCGGGTTCAAACCAGCCCCGGCCAAAAACTGCAAAAAAAAAAGTTAAAGCTACCAGGCTGGGTTTAATGCACTGTGAATGAGCCTTGCTTTCCACCAGTGTTCACCTTCCAGAGCCTAGCCTCAAACTCAGGGGATTAATTCTCCAAAAGAGCATGACCACTCCTCTTGGCTTCTTATCAAACTTCTTGTCTAGTGGCCATCGCTTTCAGCAATTTGATGTTTGCAGCCCTGAACTCTGAAGTCCTCTAATCTCCTTTCGAGTTCTAATGCTAAGCCCTTTCTTACAAGCCCATTCCTAGATTTTCCAGATTTTGTCTGGACTTTCCTCATTAGTGTTATCTGTTTAAAAAGTGTTTCCTAAAGAAGCTTTGGCTTTACGCAATACCTCATAGCCTACCTCAGAGCCAGTGAAGCTCTACTCTTGACAGGTGCTGGGATGCTACCATACATTCCAATCTGGAACCTCTGCAATGATAACTAACATTTTGTTCAGGAGTATCTCGTTCCTTTTGAGTCTTCCACTAAAACACACATGCCAATTGTTATTATCCATTAATTTTCTTTTTCCGTATTTACATAGACTGGAGCTGAATTAGCCCCAACACCCAGTTTTCTAGAATGAAATAGATGTAGGAAGAAGCAGCTGTCAGATCGCAAATTACAGGGAAATATATGTTCCTTCCTAGCATCCCATCAGTAGTATCTGTGAAGGAGGGATTTAAGCCTACAGAAAATTTGGATCTAGATGTCCAAGATATTGAAATGTAAAATAATGTGATGAAGTTAATAACCTAGCATTTTTTCACAAAACAGAGAAGCTACAAGAAAAGAGGTGATTGAAAATGAAGACAGGAAGGTCTGAAGAATGAACAGAATCATGCTGAATTTTTTTTGTTAATTTTTTAATTAAATCATAGCTGTGTACATTAATGTAATCATGGGGTACAATGTGCTGGTTTTATATACAATTTGAAATGCTTTTATCAAACTGGTTAACATAGCCTTCATGGCATTTTCTTAGTTATTGTGTTAAGACATTTATATTCTACAACCACACCTATGGTGCATTTTACAAGGGTACATGTTAAAAAAAATTTTTTTTTTGAGACAGAGTCTCACCGTGGCATCACAGCTCACAGCAACCTCAAACTCGTGGGTTTAAGCAATTCTCTTTCCTCAGCCTCCCAAGTAGCTGGGACTACAGGCACCTGCCATAATGCCCAGCTATGTTTTGTTGCAGTTGTCATTGTTGTTTAGCTGGCCGAGGCGGGTTCAAACCCACCAGCCTCCGTGTTATCTGTCTGGCACCATAACCACTGTGCTATGGGCGCCGAGCCCATGCTCAATATTTTGAATTGTCTGGTCCAATTGTCTCCTTTCTTCCCTCTCTACATTCTAGAAACCAAAGCCATCAAGATACTGATGCATATCTGAATTTATTTACATAGAAATATGTCCAAATATACTAATGAGTGTGAGGGGAAACAGTTCTAAAACTTGTAAGGGTTAGGCAAAGACTTCCTAGATAGGACAACAAACACACAAGCAATAAAAGGAAAAAAAATGATAAATTTGGGCGGCGCCTGTGCCTCAAAGGAGTAGGGTGCTGGCCCCATATGCTGGAGGTGGCGGTTCAAACCCAGCCCTGGCCAAAAACTGCAAATAAATAAATAAATAAATAATAAATAATAAAAGAAACACAAATTTTTTAAAAAATGATAAATTAGACCTTCAAAACTTTTTTTTCACAGATTTTTTTTTTTTTTTTAGAGGCAGAGTTTCACTTTTTCACCCTCGGTAGAGTACCATGGTATCACAGCTCACAGCAACCTCAACTCCTGGGCTTAGGTGATTCTCTTGCCTCAGCCTCCCAAGTAGCTGGGACTACAGGCGCCTGCCACAATGCCCGGCTATTTTTTTTGTTGCAGTTCAGCCAGGGCCCAGTTTGAACTCGCCACCCTCAGTATATAGGGCTGGGGCCCAACTCACTGAGCCACAGGTACCACCCACGACCTTCAAAACTTTTGTGCATCAAAAGACACCATTAGGAAAATGAAAAGACAAGCCATCGACTAGAAGTTGTATATCTGATAAAGGGTTGGTATTCAGAATATATAAAGAACTCTTTTTTTTTTTTGCCTGCAGTTTTTGGCCAGGACTGGGCTTGAACCTGCCACCTCCGGCATATGGGGCTGGCATCCTACCCTTTTGAGCCACAGGTGCCGCCCCTATATAAACAACTCTTATAATTTAATAATAAGAGGATAAGAATTTAAAAATAGCCCGATTGAAAAATGGTAGCAAATCGTGTTGGTTCATATCTGTAATCCCAGCACTTTGGGAGGCCATGGTAGGAGGATCACTTGAGGCTGGGAGTTTGAGACTAACTTGAGCAACATAGCAAAACCCCATCTCTAATTTTTTTTTAAAGGGAAAAAAATGGGTAAAAGATTGAAACAGACATTTCACTGAAGAAAATATTTAAATGGCTGATAAGCACATGGAAAGATGCTCAGTCGCATTAGTCATTAGGGAAATACAAACCCAAACCATAATGAGGTATTGTTCCACACTCATTAGCAGAGCTATAATCAAAAAGATAAAGGAGAGCAAGTGTTTGCTAGGATGTGGAGAAACTAGAACTCTCTTACATTGCAGGTGGGAATGTAAAATTATACCGCCATTTTGGAAAACTTAACCATATAACACAGTAATTCCACACCTAGACATCTACCTCAGAGAAATGAAAACGTATGTCCATGGAAAAATTTGTACATGAAAATTCCTCCCAGAATTATTCACTTGAAACGATCCAAATGTCCATCAATGGGTGAATGAATGAATAAATGTGGCCTGTCCATATAATAGCATCTTACTCTGCCATAAAAGGAAGAAAGTACTGATACATGCTACAGCATGGAGGATAGTACGCTATGTAAAAGAAGCCAGATTCATCTAGCCAGGTGTTCTGGTGGGTGCCTGTAGTCCCAGCTACTGGGGAGGCTGAAGCAAAAGGGTCGCTTGAATCCAGGAGTTTGAGGTTGCTATGAGCTATGAGGCCACGGCACTCTGTCCTGGGGCAACAGAGTGAGACTCTGTCTGAAATAAATGAATGAACAAATAAATAAGTAAATAAATCCAGATTCAAAAGACCACCTGTTGTATGATTCCATTTATATGGAATGTCCAGAACAAATCAATCTAGAAAGAAAGTAGATTAGCAGTTACCAGAGGCTAGGGGGCTAGGGGTGGTAACTGGGAGTAAGTGCAAGTGGGTATAAAAGATCTTTTGAGGGGGTAATGAAATGATCTTAAATTGGTTTGTAATGATAAGTACAAAACTCTTGAAATTTACTAAAATTATCTATATAGTTAAAACAAGTGAATTTTTATGATATATAAGTTATACCTCAATGAAACTGTTTGAAACTTTGAGTTAAAAGACAGAAATCTATCTGTGATGCACCATATGGTTCCATTGTTGAAATAGCAACTAGTCCATGTTCATATCTGTTTGAGTTGGTTATTTAAATTTCCTTGTGTGATAGGATTTTGGATGATACTCTCCTTCTACTGTGTTTCTTATCTGCTTTTTTTTTTTTAACACTTAGCAGGCATTACTTTCACTATTGGAGAGAAACATACATTATTTTATTGGTCAGGCAGTGTAGTATGTATATTAATTAAATGCTGAGCTTTGGATCCCAGCTGTGTGACCTTAGTCAAATTACTTAA